TGTCCACACCAGGTCAGAGTTGGTGGGGACATGTCCACACCAGGTCAGAGTTGGTGGGGACATGTCCACACCAGGTCAGAGTTGGTGGGACATGTCCAAACCAGGCCTTCAGAAAGTTACTGCTCCTCTGTCGGGTCTCTCCCTTTTCTGCAGAAAGTAACTTTCTTTGTTTGGTTTTCATTTCTTATTATTTAACTCTATCATCTAGATTTCGATTTTTTTCCAGTGGGAAGTTGTTTATGCTCTCGTTGTTTTGAACTTTTTTGTTTTTGCACCTTCATTTCTAAGTCTAGCAGTTGTATGCATGAGAGAGATAGTCCTTGTGCCAACTCCTTGGTTGTATTGGGAAGTAGGTTGTTGTTTCTGCTCAGTATTCCTTTGATATAAATCTGATTGGCACTCCATATATCATTTAATGCTGTTCTTGCAGTTCTTATATTATTGTGTCTGGTGTCCCCTTAATGTCACCAGTCCACAAGGAGAAAATGTAAAAAGCATCGCAGTTTAGCTTTATTTAGTTATTTAAGGATAGAAAGAAATACTCTTAGTACCATAAATACATTATTTATGACGACCTGGATGAATATCTGTCCGCACATGAGCTGATGGTTCGGATTAGGTAGTGACAGGGAGGGGGGGTTAGATTTGTATCTGTAAATTTGTGATTTTTAAAAGTTGTAACCTGTATTTCTAACTTTAATTTTATTTCTCACCGACAGCGCAAATGAACAGGAACAAATATCAAATCTATTTAAGTATAATTACTTCCATCTACATATTCAGACGACTACGCAGTGCTTTTTAGTGATAATTATACCCCATACTATCCTGCTTTGGTAACCAACAACCGAAGAACGTCGTGGTTTTTACCTGCTTCCTGCCTACTTGGGGAGAGTATGACTGTTTCAGATATATGAAGCTGGGGAGGAGCCACAGATAGGGGAGGGGGGGGTGAAGGTCTATGACCACCAGGTGAGGGGTTTTCTGCAGCCAGGCTCCCAGGGGGAACCAATCCTGTCTCTCTCTGTTGTTTCTGATGCACAGACTGAGCTGTGGGAGAGGATGAAGCTGGGAGGGAAAAAGAAAAGAAGCAGGAAGAAAAAGATGAGGAAGAGGAAGAGAAGGAGGGGACAGATCAAAGGCAGCAGGCGGTGAGAATCAGACATGCTAGGGAGGTGTGAGGAAAAGCCCAGGCATCTTTAAATGGTTTTTTTTTCTTGGATTATCTTGTAATCTTATTTAGTGGATTGCCCCCTAACAATTCTTTAAACTCGTAGTCGTAAAGTCATACCGCTGCATTTCTGAATTCTCCCGAGTGGTGCCCGACTATACACGAGTGAATATAGTGAATGTGATTGGTCGATTATCAAGGGGGCGGGATTGTTGTGGTGGAAGGTTTGCAATCAAGTTTGGTAAGCCTGAATGAGCTATAAGAACAGCAACTTTTAAACCGAGCGTGCACGAGGAGAAATGGGCTTGTGCACGCTCTCGCACGCACCAAAGCACAATTTACACAGATATAGCAGCATGTCAAAACGTAAACATGGCAAAGCAGCCACTTAAAAAAAAAAAAAGCGCCTAGTGCCAAACCTCAAGCCTCCTTTTCGGCATTAGTGGAGACTTTGGCGACATAAGAGCACCAAACTCTGTCCTCCTGAGTGAGACAATCATTAGCCTGCCTCCTTTTCTCTCTCTGTCCGCCGTCATCATGGTGCATTTTTGTCACCAATTGCTATGGAGTGTGGAACGGCTGAATTAGATGTAGTTTTCTTCACTTTTTTTATAAAAGTTGCTATAAAACTCTTTAAATTCACACGTTTCTTCCTCCCTGCTATTGTGTCTGATTTGACCGACAGCCAAAAAAAATTGGGGGATTCAGAATCTCCTGCAGGCGGATGACATGAGGTATGAAAATTAGGTGAGGACGTCATCTAGCGCCTAACCTGACTCCGCCAGATGGATTTGCTCCGCATATCCATCTG